CCAAGGCTCCCTTCTTCGTCAGCCCTGACCCCACCTTCCACTGGGGTTGGTTACCCAATCTCCAGTGGGGTTGCTCAGTTTACCGGTGTATACCAACTTGGAATTGAGAAGGAGAGGCTGAGTGATACTAACAGGATACGGCATCATGTTTTGCGCTTCACTGACCCTTTACAGACCTTTGTAAAACAATCTTTGTAAATGCACAATAAATAACACTAGGTTTTACTAACTCAATTACGATTTGAATTTGACTTTATGTCTTAAGTGTATCAATTGTTCATCTTACAACTTAAATTACGTTATTAGTTTGGACAACCCTGTAAACATAACATCTCAGGTATTCTATACTTTTCCATTTCGAGAATATTTGCTGCAGGATCATATAATATGGACACGCATAAAATTGCTCCAGACCACCCAACCCATACAATATTTAAGTTTATACATTTTGACCGGAGTAAATAGGTTACACTTTATTGCAAATGTTCCTTTCATTCACTCCAAGAAAGCTTCTAAAACATTTACCTACACAATTTCCTTAATGGAAGGATTATGATCAGACGGTTGTGTTTCTGCAGATATATGTGTAAAAATTTATTTTTATAGGACTTCTAAACAAACCCATTTTGTGAACGAATTGATAACTTTTGTCAATTGCAATTAAAAGAACTTGCTATATTCCATTATACAAAAATTACCAGCATTTAAATGGGATATTAAATTACTTTTTGATTATATTTCGTTGTTGTACATTGGTTTTCCGATTATAATACATAAAATAAATTTGTCGATTTCTTTACTCTACTGGAATGGAAGTCTTCTTCGAATACTGTACTTTGTTAATAAAAGTTGGCTACACCAGTGGCGTGTCTATGTCAGTTTTTAACAGAAGCTCAGAGTAATACTGCTGTTGTGACCATGTAGATCCAATGGTGAATAGTATTAATGACATACACACTCTTAATCTATTCTACCTTCTGTTATTAATTTTAGTATATCATAACTACGGTTACAATATACATATATCAGCCATTTTTGTGGCGTGATTTATAGATGTTATTGAATAAATCCATTAAGATATGAATCTGCTCTTCTTCAGTAGGTTTAAGAATTTCCGCCTTTCAATTAATTCAGTACATTTATTCCGTTATTTTAAGGTTTTATCCCTGTCTATGTGTTCACGTTAATCTTTTTTTCTATAATCTTTAAATATTTTCTTAACATAATTTTTCCTTATTTTTATCTTTTTTACTATATTTTATATTTGTTTTTTTTTATTGACATCTGTATAGTATGATACACTGGGTACAAAATTAACCGAACACTCAGATTTTTTTGTTTTTTGTTGGTGTTTAGATCAAAACTTGTTTAATTTGTTTGAATTGTATTTTATGCCTTATTTCTATTAATTGATTTTCCTGTATCGTTGTCAAGCCGATAATATCGGAAACATCTGCGTTGAAAGGTCTGCTATTCAGTTTTTATTTCTGTCGGATTCTGGAAAATAATCTCGAAAAGGAGATCTCAAACCGCGGAGGTGCGTATTTCTTCTTCTTCTACTTGGCATGATTCATAGGGTCATCTTGGCTATAGGCATGATTAATAGGGTCATTCGCACCATAGGGTCACATAATATGATTGTATCAATCACAGGTCTTCGAAAAGATTCGATCTTTGTGAACGGATTTATTTCTTCTTCTACTTGGCATGATTCATAGGGTCTATTTTGGCTATAGGCATGATTCATAGGATCATTCGGACCATAGGGTCACAGAATGTGATTGTATCAATCACGAGTCTTCGAAAAGATTCGATCTTTATGAACGGATTGTTTGTGATCTTTTTATCATTATTAGCGCTCTTTTGTATGTTGTTTTTTTATAGTGATCGCTGACATTTATTGATTAATTTAAACGGCCATAGATAAGACCCCTGAGGGGTCCGGGGACCACAGGTTAAGAAACCCTGATCTATGATAAAAATCATAGATGAGGGCTGTTGAAAAATCTATTGATGCTACTAATTCCATATCTTTTACGTTCTTATTGATGATCTGCCTATGAGAAAGCATAAAAAAGTATGTCTCCACAAAGATCGTGTAAAAGAAAAAAACAGATAGATCAAGATGTTAAAGATATATTATTTAATATCTATAGAGCTGTACATGGTTTTGTTTACCAAAACGTACACTATATATTTGGAATTCTTCCAGTGATCGAGGAGACAATATTGTAAGAAATCAAAAACTGCATAAAATCGGTCAAGACTTACCCAGGTGCCGATATTTGGTCAGACCATACTTTACTATGCTCGACATTCACACTTAGGCTAAAGAGAGTCTGTAAAAATCAGAAAACCTCCAAAAAATCACTAGATGCACCCCAAGATCCATGCACCCTAAATAGGGTTTCTCAAAAAATTAACAAGTTTTATGAAATTAGACTAGAAGATACGAACAACATAGATAATTGCTGGAAACAAACGACAACGACAATATTAGCCGATAATCAGCATCTCCAGACAACTAGTTAGAATCAATATTTATAACTATTCCTAAGAAAAGGAATGCCAGACAGTTTAGCAACTATTAACTTATTAGTTATATAATAACAGACAAAAAGCAAATTATTCAAGATGTCACTGTACTCAATAAACTATCAGTAGGAAGCGATCACAGACCAGTAAGAGCTAGAGTAACGATAAATCTACAAAAAGAAAGAGCAAAGATGATAAACAGTTGCAAACGCATAGTTTGGAATTCACCAAATCATCGAGAAGCATACATAAAAAATATAGCCGAAACTTTACAGAGTAATAATCCCAAACCTCTAAGTATCGACGATCACAATAAATTAATAACAGACTCGGTTAGAAATGCACAACTCAAATTTTGCAAAAAAAATGACACCAAAAGTGAAAAGATTAGCAAAAATACAAAAGCTCTCATGGAAATACGACGAAACCTAAGCGAGAACGAAAAGGGAAACAAAGAAGAATATACAAAACTAAATAAAAGAATTTCAGCGGAAATTAAAAAAGATGTAAGAAGATATAATACTAATGTAATTACTCAAACAGTAGAAGAGAACAAAGGTTTAAAGATAATGAAAAGAAAACTCACACAAAGTAAAAAAGAAATATACAAGCTGAGAGATAAAGACGGAAAGGCAACAACAGATAAACAAAACATTCTGGAAAATAATCAGAGAGTTCTATAAAGACCTCTATACCAGCCAAAGACCACAAGACAATTTCCCGACACGAGTAAAGACTCTCATGAATCAGGGATCGGAAATACTTTTACCCATTACTGTGTCAGAAATAAGGAACCTTTAGGAAAATAAGGCAGCTTTAAAGGAAATGAAGAACCATCGATCGCCTGGTGATGATGGACTCGTTATCGAGGCAATAAAAGCAGGAGGAGAAATTTTATTAAAATCAGTAAGCGAACTGTTTAATAAATGCTTACATGCGCGTACGATTCCAAAAGACTGGAACAATGCAGTAATAGTCCTGTTACACAAAAAAGGCGATATTACTAAATTAGAAAATTATAGACCCATCAGCCTCTTGACACATATGTACAAACTCTTTATGAAATCTTAACAAAGAGGTTAACACCTAAACTTGATTTCTATCAGCCCAAAGAACAGGCAGGCTTCAGGGCAGGATATGGACGGTGGACAAGACGTATTATGGAATGGAGGCCCAGAAACTATAAAAGAAGCCGAGGACGACCACCGACTAGATGGACCGATGATATAAAACGTGTAGCGGGAAACTGGCTAAAAGCGGCCCAGTGTAGAGAACACTGGAAAGAACTGAGGGAGGCCTATGTCCAGCAGTAGACGCGATTGGCTGATTGATGATGAACTTATTAGTTTAATGAGTCACGCGCTCAAAATTTTTATGAAAATATTGCATTGTCGCATAAATAAACTTTGTGAGGGTATAACTGGTAATAAGCAGTTTGGTTTACTATTAAAGTAAATTACTATTTCAAGGCTTCTAGAGCAGAGGTTCTTAAACTTTTTTTTCTCGTAGGTTTCTTGTCATGTTTTTTTAATTTTAGATAGACCCCCTGCTATTCACTTTAAAAGATTTAAACTTTTACACATGACAAACTTTGACATATTTATTAATATAGCTTAAATAAAAATATAGTAACTATTACATGAAAAAAAAAAAACTATGCAAAAAATAAACCCATTTAATAGGAGGGATGAACTTCTTGGTTAAATGATAAATTAGCAACATATGACATATTATATCTGGATATGATTTCCATATCAAGTTTTTGGGTGAATTTAAAAACAGTTTATACAGAAGTATCAGATGAAGCACTGAAACATTTACTACTTTTACTGTAACCAGAGGTATGTTTCCACTGAAACATACCTCTGTGAGAAGGGATTCTCTGAAGGTATATATCAAAAAGAAGTACAGAAACAGACTACAATTGGAATCTGATTTAAGGTTAGAACTAAGTAAAAATATCAACCCAAATATACCAAAATTAGTAGCAAGAAAACAGCACCAACCCTCACATTAATACAGTAATTTTTATTTTCATAAAAATGATAATTTTTTCAGTACTTCAAAAAATTTGTCCTAATTTAATTGTGATTTTTATTAAGGGAGTCCTTGAAATTGTGCTTGATTTTCTAGGGGTTCGATGACTGAAAACGTTAAGAAACGCTGCTACAGGTTCAAAAATTCAGTAATAAATATCATATATCATTCAGCCATAAAAGTTTAAATTTAGAAATATCAAATAACAATTTTTATAAACGTATTGCAGTCATTTGTAGTTTTGAGTCTATTGTACTCAAAGTTATATAATTGCTTGTAAATATTTTCACCATCAGTTTTTTTTAAATGTTTTAAAACGTATTTTGAAATTTACCTTTTAGGTATGATGTGGAGAAGGAAGCGGGAGCGCTCGGGGGGCAGCTAGCGGCGTGGGAGCCCCCCGGCCCCAGCATGACGCGCGCTAGAGAATGAAGAAGCAAAACGTTCGCACCTTATCTCTAATCGTTTGCACCTTCACGTACCTTCTCATCGGCGCGGCCGTCTTTGATGCTCTCGAATCCAAAACAGAAAACCAAAGAAAAATTGTATTACAAGGTAATTGTTTAGTTAAACCAAAGTATGCATTTTAATGAAGTTCAAAAAGCACTTGCCCTAATTGCAAGTAGTAGACCTTTTTGTCAAATAATTTGTTTATTATGCTGATTTTCATATTCAAATATTGCAATGTTATTTAACTTTTGTTATCCCCACCGTTATGATTGTATTGTCTACGAGGTTCAATCTATTATATACTTTTTCATGTCTTTTTTTTTAATAGCTGTGCCCACTTTGGCTGATATTGATTTTTCTACTACACTTTCCTTGTAAAAAAATCTACCGCAAACAATTTAAGAAACAGTAGTCTAGCATGCTATATATAATTACTATATACCTTATATAAGTATGATGTGTCTCAACAATTGTTATTCGAGGACCCAAAACTCTTGTCTTTTTTATTTAATTTCTCTAAATGTACATTCCCCATAGATTTTTTCGTTTTTTAAACAAAACTATTAAGAGCAGCATTTAATCTACTTCAATAACTTTTATTTTTTATTCGAAAACTAACTATTTGGCTTCAATAAGATTTAATTGGTTTTGATTATTTTTATATGTAATTTTTGCAGAGATACAAAATATAATAAGAAGGAAATATAATATAAGTAACGAGGACTACAGAATTATGGAAACCATAGTCCTAAAATCGGAGCCCCACAGGGCCGGACAGCAATGGAAGTTTACGGGAGCGTTTTATTACGCCACCACGGTCCTGACCACAATCGGTTACGGGCATTCCACTCCAAGCACCATATCCGGTAAACTGTTCACGATGTTTTACGCGATCATTGGCATTCCCCTGGGGTTGGTGATGTTTCAAAGTATCGGTGAAAGGGTCAATAAGCTAAGCAGGTTAGTATTGACTTATTTTTATTTAACACCGAGGTATACAATAAATAACACAACTATTTTTAAAAACTCTATATTTATTCACAAAGTGTTTATTTTTATATATTATTTTTATTAGATATATGCATTTATATTAAGAATAATATTTCTTTTCAATTCGAGTCTAATCTTTTTCTTTCTTTTTCTATATGCATTTCATTGTTTCTGAATCATCAGGATCTTGTGAGACTATAATTGATAAGAATATGAACCGTCCACCTAGCAATTATAGCTAAATAATGTGCCATGACAAACAATACATTCAATTTGGAAAGCAATAATCGCCAAACAACTTGGTTATAATAACAGCTCACAATTTAAAATAATCTGGAAATCGAAACGTCAAATAACAGTTATTAAATGTAATTTTCATTAAAATCAAACTTGGTTTAATCTTATATAAACATAATAATATTTAACATAGACATGCCACAACAAAACAGTTTCAGATCCATTCACAGATAGAGTTCGAAATGAAGATGTTAGACAATATTTTAAACCGACGAGTAACTTGAAGAATGAAAAGATATTTATGCCTATAGGAAAAGTAGGAAGAAGTTTAACGAATTCTTCCAATTTATGTATATTTCAGTAAAGCTCTTCATAAAATTTTTGTACTACTTGGTGTAGTTCTTCTCTATTGGTTTCTTCTTTGCCTTGTCTGCTTTTAAACTTAAATATTTTGGTTTTACCTTGTGTCAGTTTTTTTAAGGTTCCAAACTTTTGTTTTCATCTGTGATATTCTAGATTTCTCTATTATTGTAATTTCTTAAACACTTTCTTATATTTTTTAAAATGTTTTTGTTTACATCTTTCACTTCTTGTTTGTCTAAGTTATTTTGTTTTACAAGTTTTCTTTGATTCTTCATTAATTATTGTTGAATATGTCCCGGCGCTAGGGTTTATTAAAGGGCCCGCTTGCAAAACTGACATACGTGTCCTTTGTTTTTTTTTAAATTTAGTTATATTTATTTTTCATCTTTGACAATTGTAAAAAATTTACTAACAAAATTTTGTTTTCCTTGTTTTAATTTAGGTACACTCATACTCATACAGTGATCAAGGTGTATCAATACTCCTACTCTTTTGTTGTTACTTTTTTTCAACTTGTCTTAAGTGAAATGTCTTTAATCTTTCCTACAAGTCTCTCTTGGCCAACTCTTGTTTCCGAGGGCAGACTGGTCACTATATTTCCTTCTACTACACACTTTAGCAAGGCAACTGGAAACCACCTAGTGCCTAACTTTCCCAAAAAACAATCAATGGAGCAACGATGCTAAGAATCTCCCAATCAGCTAGAAGCATGAGTGCATTTTCTGATGAAAGAAACATAGGTACATGGAATGTAAGAAGCATGTTCGAACCAGGAAAGGTTTACAACACCATAAAAGAAATAAAGCGCCTAAATATAAGTATACTTTTAATAAGTCAAATGAGATGGCCAGGGTCTGGTAAAGTAATTATAGACGATCACATTGTAAACTATTCAGGAAAAGACAGTTCAGTACACAAAAATGGTGTAACAATAATTGTAACGAAGGAAATAGATAAAGCTGTAAAAAACGTCGTCCTATTCTCAGACAGGATACTAATGTTACAAATGCAAACAAAAATAATTAATGTGAATATATTACAAGATATGCCCCCACACAAGACTATGGAGAAGAAGAAAATGAAAAATTATATCATGATTTAGAAAAAGTATTAACATCTACAAAGAAACACGATCTCAATAATGTCATAGAAGATTTCAGTGCGAAGATTGGCTAATGAGGACAGAAAAATATCATAGGAAAATATGGTCTGGAAATACGAAATTAAAGAGGAGCTATGTTGGCATCTTTTTCTGTAGAAAAGCAACTAGTAATAATAAACAGAATTTTCAAACTTCCAAACCATCGTCTTTACACCTGGAGATCACCAACAGATACACCTGAATATGTGGATTGTAACCAAATAGACTTAATATGTATAAATAAAAGATACAGAAATTCAGTATTAGCAGTCAAAACATATCCAAGTAAAGATATACCAACAGATCACAATATTCTGGTAGGAAAAATAAGACTGAGGTTAAAAAGAGTTAAAAGGACTAATAAGCAAACAGTTAATATTGATAAGAAAATATGTCAAATAATACCGTAAAATAAGAAATAACCAGTGTATCAGAACAAAAAATGAAGTTGACATCAAGCAAAGATAAAAGTACTGAGGAAAACTGGACGAGAATTAAATATCTATTAAAAATCATTTATGAAACAAAATTAAGCGCAGTAAAAACAAAAAGAGAACAAGGGAGGATGGCAGAAGAAATGGATCAAGGAAGAGAAATCAGAAATAAAGATAAAAATGAATACAAGAGGATCCACGCAATAGTCAGGCAGAAGATAAGAGATGCGAAAACACAATTTCATAACAAAGAATGTAATAAAATTGAACAAAATAAAAAGTAACACGATACATTTCATCTGCACAAGAAATTAAAAGAGATTGCTGGAATCAAACGGAAACAACTATCCCAAAGTTTAGATGACAAAAACGAACACAGAATATTAGATATCAATGAACAGTTAAAAGAATGGAAAAAACTACATTTCTGAATTATTTTAAGATTAAAGAGTAGAACACTATATACCGATTGCTATAAAAGGTCTATCTATAACAGAAAGTGAGGTTGTGTGAGGAATACAAACGGCAAAATGGGAAAAGCACTTGGCCCCGATGAAGTAAGTGCAGAAATACTAAAGTTTTTGTGAGAAAATGGATTTAAAGCACTGTGTGGTGTCTTTCCATCAGAAATTATCCACGTCCACGTTTTCTAAATGGAATTTTAATCATATTTTTGCGTTAGAAGCCCTTTTTTTTAATATGATATAAGTTTTTCTACAGCTGCCAGAAGATTATTGTAGAAGTTGTTAATTTCTTCGTTAGAGTAGGTACTGATTGGCGCTTATCTGAATTATCATTGGACTATAACTACGTGAGTTTAGTTTTACTAGTTGAACAGTCAGTCAACCGAGTTCCAAAAGCGATGTTGTAGTTAACATTCACATACTTTCGAAAATAACTAAGCTTTACATGCATAGGCTGAGGTTCTCTTCTAAGATAATGGTGGAAAAGTTTCTTAAAATTCAAGTCACATGGCAAGTAGACCCTCATCCTTGTCTTGCTTCTAGAGTAATGAGACTCTTTTCATGTTATAGATTCTATAAATTTTTTGATGCGGTATTTTTTTCTTCATTTTTTGGACCTACTATATGGCCACCTCTACGTTCACTGAAAAGCGCCCCAGTGATAACAACATTTCTTACAATTCTTTGTATGCTTAAATTTGTGATTCCTAGAAACGACTTGGCACATACTCTAATCATCTTACCCTCACTCAAACGTACATGGTATTTTACCGACACTGCAGCATGATTAAATTTCCCTCTTTTGTTTTCTGTCCCTATCAGAAGGTCTTGTTTACTTTTATCTTTTGACTGATAAAGATAGGCATGAAAATCTATCACTTGCTTCATCGTGAGTGTGGTACAATAATGGCAATCCGGGACGTCCGTTATGACCACAAGTTGGAAAGGCCGACAGTGCTTCTGGTGCATTTCTGTAACAATACAACTCTTTTAATAAAATTTTCTGTAGCCCTACCCAACCTTAAAACGCGAAAGCCAAGTGAAACTGCATAAAAAAATCAAACGATTGTCGCAAAAGTCTAAAATCATAAATTTTAATATGAAGCACTTACCTAGCAAGTTTATCCACATTCCTTTTATGTGTTTTTGACTGAAGTGTTGAGTGTTTTTGACTTCATTTAACAAAACAACCATTTTCACTTACTAACTCCATAATAATAAAAAAAATGTTCCTAATTTGCCAAAATACAACTGTTTAATTATAAATAATAATTATAAACTACTGAAACTCAAAATTTGTTTCTTCAACATAGCTGTTGTAGTAGCGTGTTCGTCACGTGAACCAATCGGCAAATTTCATTGGTGTTTGAGCAAACAGCGAGTTTTGTAAGTAAACATTCAAAGCAAAGAGCGAGTTCTGCAAATAACTAATTTTCTCTACAGTTGTATGCAAAAGAATGAGTTTTGGGAAATTCTGATTATCATTTGATTCCTATTTAAAATTGAAGTAAACTTTTAAAATTGAAGTATAATTTTAATAATTTTCGAAACTTTTGTTGATTATCGAGTTTTGCAAATAATGGCCTCATATTAAATGTTAAATATGTTCTGGAACTGTTTTCTTGTGGCATGTTAAAGTCAAATATTGTATTTATATGGGTTTAAACCGTAATTAATTGTAATAAAAATGATTACTCGTATAAACAAGGAGGAATTTTTATGCTCTATGTACAATACTGCCCATTTTTTAGACAGTCTAGGTCAAAAGAAAGAATTAACTTTTTCATCGTAAGTTTAATAGATATAATTTAAGTTTATTAACCATAGTCTACTTAAATTAATGTATTTATAGACACTTAAAGAAAAAAACAGACATTCTATTATCTTAATAGTTATAGTTAATGGTCTTTATGGTTTTTGTTTGATTTTAGTGTTATTATACGATCCGTAAAGTCTTCCCTTCATTGTCGACAAACTACTGCGTCAGAATTAGATTTGATCTGCGTAGTTACTTTTTTAAGTTCGTTAACCATAGCCGGAGGTGCTGCTGCCTTTTCCAGATACGAAGGGTGGAGTTATTTCGATTCAGTTTACTATTGCTTCATCACACTCACAACTATTGGATTTGGCGATATGGTAAGTAAACATTATACAAAATTCCCTAGTAAAGTTGAAAATCTACAAAATATTTAATTTTTTTATAATTTCTAACTATATCTTCAATTTTGCGTAAAATTTATATATACGTAGACAGTCCGATAAGTACTTAACGTCACCGCCGGATGGCGCGAGTATCTTAAGAGAAATCTCCTATCGTGTAATATATTCTTCTTCTTTAAGTTCCATGTTATCTCGAAGGTTGGAAATCATCATGGCTATGCGGACCATGTTGAATTCGGCTATAAATAGTTCTGCACTACTGTATTCAAACCAATCCCACAAGTTCTTAAGCCACGATATTCTTCGTCTTCTAACATTTCGCTTTCCTCGAATTTTGCCTTGCATAATAAGCTGCAATAATGACTATCTTTGCCCTTTCATAATGTCCTAAGTACTCAAGTTTTCTTCTTTTGATAGTCAATATTATTTCAGTTTCATTTCCTATTCTTCTAGTAACTAATGCATTTGAAATATTTTGAGTCCATGATATTCGTAGGATTCTTCTGTAACACCAAAATTTAAAGGCGGCCAACTTATTTACATGCACTTGTTTTAATGTCCGTGCTTCCAAATCATAAAAGAGAGTAGTGAATACGTAACACCGAAGCATTGTTAGGTGTAGTCCTAAACTTATATCCCGACAACAAAGAAACTTTTTAAGTTTAACGAATGATGCACGTGATATTTCAATACATTTCTTGATTTCTTTGGTTTGATCTATATTTTATGTTAACCATATTCTTAAATATTTGTAGTATCCACACTCTCAATTACATTATATTCAATAATCAGTTGGATGTTTGCAACTGCTGATTTGGACATGATCATGCATTTAGTTTTTTTAAAATTCATCCTTAGTCCGTATTCATGACAGCATTAACTAAGTCATTGCATTATGTTCTGTAAATAATTGTTGTAATCCGTCATTATTACTGTATCGTCTGCAAAAAGCAAGTTATTCAAATCTTGTCCATTCATAGATATACCTTCTGTTGAACCTGAGAGCGCTTAACGTAACATTGGTGGTCCAGCATCCTTTGTAATTTCTAATGATAGTTCTTCTCTTTCATCATTAAATAGCTTTTGAATGTAATTGGTTCAGTAACACAATATTTTCTTCATATTAGTAATAATATCTCCAGATCTTCTATTTCCTTGCATCTGTCGTAGAGCCACCTTTCTTTTGCCTCTCGAGTTTTCTTTCTGATGTTTTTCTGAATTTATTTTTATTTATTCAGGTCTTTTGATTTATGTTTTCTTCGTTGTTTCATAAGTTCAAGAATTTCTATTGTCATCCAATGTTTGGTTTTTTCCCAAGGGGTTTAAGAGTATCTTTTCCAACTGACACAAGAGCATGTTGAATTTTTCCCCAGTTTTGCTCAATAGAGTTTTTGCATTATCTTCTTTGACTTTCCTTAAGTTTTCGTTTATTTTAAATATTTAGTTTTCGCATAAGTGTTTTCTTGTTTAATCCGCCTTGTATCCATGATTTTCTTGGAGCTAGGGTGGTTTACATTCTTTAGTTTCACTCTTATCGACAAAACAACCGGATTGTGATCGGAGAATATGTCAGCTACTGGATAAGTTTTGGATGATATTATAGAATTTCTATATCTTCTGTTGGCGATATTATAATCTATTTGATTTATGACTATTTTGTTGTTATTGTCAGTTGGTGACCTCCATGTGTATAATCTACATTTAAGAAGTTTGAATAAAGTATTTGTAATTATAAGTTCCTTTTTTTTGTTTTATCTTTATATCCTCGTGTATAAGAGCTTGAAGACTAGTTTCAGAACTTATTGGAAGTTTTATCTTTTATAAAACAAGGTGGTAACTTCTTAAAATACACATAAATGTTTGTATTTTGAGAACGATTTCCGAAGTGGAAATTGAAACGTCAATAAACGTATTTTTATCTTTAATTGTGGCTTATTCCCAGTTTAATAGTAATTAATATAAGTTCCGTGCTTATACAGAAATCAACCAGCCGATCTTCTCGTTCATTCCTCTCACCGAATCCATATCGCCCCACACAAATCTCCACTTCTCATTGGCCCACATAGCGTTTTAATTCCCTAATATAATATTTCTATCATGGTTTTTAGTCAACTTTAAGACATTGCCAATTTGTTCACAAAAGTTCCCTATGATGTCTTCATCATTGTCTGCAATGGGTGCATATACTTGGATTGTATTTATTTTACGTTTTAAAGGAGAGTTGAGAGACAGCATCAATAATCGATCAGAGTAGCTTTGGAGAATTCTTATCAACTATAATGCCAACTCCCTGCCTGTGATTGAAGTTGTTGTTACCGGAATAATACATTGTTCCATTTCTGGTGTTACATTTTCCTAATTCAGGCCGGTGTATATCGCTAAGCCACAGTATATTAATCTTCATTCTGCGCATTTCCGACACAGTGTTATCTAGTTTGCCAGATTGGTTTATACTTCTTACGTTCCATGTTCCAATTTCTATTGCTATAGAGTTATTCTTATTTGTTTGACAGAAATTTACCCTGATGCCGACTTGAGAAGCCTTGTCGTCTAAATCTGATTGTCCTCTTCTGCCGGATCTTGGATTCCGGGCTCCATGATTATTAAGTAAATTATCGACTAGTGGGTTCATGATGATTTTTATTAAGGATATCCTTGAGGATCTTTAATGTGGTAGTAATCCCGTGGCTTTCCACATCTCAATGTCGTTGACTAATTTAGCTCTTCCGCCTTCGGAGTTAATTTCTCAGCTCCAGGGCAATGAAGTGCCCTACCACGTGTCGGTCTTTCCCCCCGTAGCTGTTGACCAACAAGTGGGGATTACTTATACCGGAATATCTTCTTGTAGTCGGCTAATGTCAAAATTTCAGCAGAATCGGACTTGTAGTTTTGTTTTGACCGCGTGTGAAAGCGGACATGTCCGAGTATTTAAGAAAAATGGAAAAAGAGCAAGATCTGTCGATGATTCAAGTCTTGTTTTTGGAAGGGAAATCACGTAGCGAAATCAAAAAGCACCTATATACTGTATACGGTGACTCTTCTACTTCGATGGTAACCGTTAAAAATTGGTTTAACGAGTTTCAGCGTGGTCGCAGGTCGGATGGCAGACCGTGGACTGATGGTGCGAAAGATAGCTGATACAGTAGGCATCTCAAAAGAGCGTGTGTCATATACGAGTAGTGCATGGAATTTTGGACATGAGAAAGCTGTCAGCGCGATGGGTGTCGCGTTGTCACTCCGAACAACAAGCGCAACCGTGAGACCACTTCAGAGCAATGTTTGACGCTTTTAAGCGTAATCAGGAGTTTCTAATTCGTTTCGTAACCGTCGACGAAATATGGATCAACCGGTATACACCAGAGACCAAGGAACATTCGAAACAGTGGACGGCACCCGGCGAACGTGCTCCGACAAACGCCAAGACTGTCCTATCGATCGGAATGGTGATGGACAACATTTTCTGGGTTTCCCACATCCAATTGGATGAACTCCCATTTATCGAATTCTCCAGACTTGTCTTCGTGCGACTTCTTTTTGTTTCTAAATTTAAAAAGGCACACGCCGGGCAGAAATTTAAGTCAAATGAGGAAATCATTGCCGCCACGGAAGCCTACTTCGCAGATCTCGAGAAAACGTATTTTTCAGATGGGTTAAAGAAGTTAGAGCATCGCTGGGTCAAGGTTATGGAGTTAAAAGGAGACTATGTTAAGAAATAAATCTCCATTTTTTCGAAATTTTCGTTTTTTTTATAGGCTAAGTACTTATCGGAAATTATCAAGAGTTCCTTATCAAGACATCTTTGGTCTTCTTCTTCGGCTCCTTCGAAGTAATGGATTATAAAATTGGAGTGTTATTTAAAAATATTTTAAGTAGTACTCTAATAATTGATAAATAATGAAATAGTTCATTAATTATTAATGAGGCGACTATGGACAGTGTCGCCGCAAATAAAATACTGATAATTCGATCCTTATTGAAAGTAATTGTTTGTTTGTTTAATTATATGAAACCTCCATTATCTGGATAATTTATCTTTTATTTAGTTCAAATATCTGTTTTTATTTTGTAATATATCCAGTTTTCCCTACCTGTCAGGTTTCTTACTGTTCATACTTACAGGGTTCTTTATGGACGGGACTGTAATTTTATTGCTGACCGTTCGAGTGTCTTTAAATAGCAGACTCCTATTCGCTGTGAGCCGATGAGTAGAGGGGATTTGACAGTTTTCACCAACGCTGTTAATGGCAGTTTTGTGCATTTAACTTGTAAACATTCAAATAATTGCGAATATGGATTTTTCAAAAAGAAAAATATATCTATGATACATGTAAAAATACTGGGTACAACAGTCATTGTAAATTTTATTCATTTCCTGTTGCCAAGCATAAAATAGTTCAAAGAGAAAAATGGATTATTGCTATCAATGAGAAAAAGAAGTAAATGACCTATAATGCAAACATGATATTTGGCTGGTTGAAATGGGATATCATGTGATATAGACTTAAAACCAGTATAATGTTTGATATCCATTTTGATAAAATTAAAACAAATTTAAGAGGTGGAGGCCATAAAACGAAAGAAGAAGAAGAATTAAAACAAATTGATATTTAAGCACTAAGGCCTACGCACAAAAAAAATAACTGAGCAAAAACAGAATAAAAATGTAAAATAAAAACAAGAATTACAACGTTACAGAGGTAAAGGCATCGAGCAAAAAGATAAAAGAGGGAATGTAAGGGTAGTGGGAACAAAAATATTGTTAGACAGGAAGTGCTATCTTGAGAGGCCACTTTAAACAAGGAAAGACAGTCTCTTTCCTTGTTTAAGAAGTCAAATTTAGTTTGGTTATGTTATTGTTTGTCCCAACTGTCACATGAAATTTTATTTATATTGAAGTTTTTTACTAATTGTGTCACTTTTTAGACTATTATAGTTAATATTTAATTAAAACTTTCTCGTCTGAAAAATATTTTATA